GTTCTCATTAGACACCTATTGAGGCTGAAAAATACCACTGGGCATGGATGCCATTTGTCAGGTAAATTTGCAGTTGCAAATAGTTTGTAATGTTGAAACTAGCAATCAACCTAGTTCTGATAATACAGGTTTCCTGGTTGTTGAGGTTCTAAAGATAGTGCAAACAAGCCCTCAGCAGGTTCACATTCACGGGAGGACTTGTTTTTAAGGATCAGCAACAGTTTCCTTTTTTTTTTTTTTTTTTTGCTGAATTGTGGCCAAATGCTCCAATGTCATCTGGCCCGTTCTTGAATCTTATAGACTGTCTCCTTCTAGCATGTTCTTTGAAACCTGACCCAACTGTTGACAGGTCCTCCTCTATAGTTAAGTGCCTTCAGAACATACTTTTGAAAGACTGGATCATTGTTTTGGTCTTAAATAGATTAAAAAACACAAAACAAAAACAAAGAAACAAAAAAACCCCAACAATTAACCATAAAGAATGCAAATGATTTTGATTTTATTTTAAGAATATGTATCTTGGTGGACATGGTATAAACTAATGGTTGTAAGTTAGGGCTCTGGAGTCCAACAATATAGATCCAGTCCATCTCTGCCAGCAACTATGTATGTAACCATGACCAAGTCATTTCAATTCTCTAAATTTCATTTTTCTCCACTGGGAAAAGTACAAAATAATGATAATCGTACCTACCTCACAGGACTGAATGGTATGTTGTAAAGTTTTTAAAATCTGGCAGCTGCCATTGTTACTACCCAAGTGTGAACGCCAGACTAAAGGCCAGCTACCATGTAGGTTCATCCTTTATTCAAATGGCACTCGCAGGGCACACAATTGCAAGTCCCTTATGCAGAAGGCATGGATTATTTGTGCATTGTCTAACATTTGACTTCTGGAGATAGGATGTCTGGAGAGGTGACTGAGGAAGACTTAGAAAGGAAGAAAACAGTGTTGTTGTTGTTTTTTTTGTCTCAATCACCCTTTTCCTCTAGAGTCAGCCATCATTCCAAGAAGGATACATTTTGAGAGTCGTTCATTCAGATCATATTCATTATGCAACCAGCTCTGCTGGGCACTGCACTTCCAGAATGGAAGGGACTGCAGTGCCCGGCCATTCCTGACCTTTAGTACATGCTACCGTGCATGCTGGTGCTGGACAAGATGAGATGGAAAAGGATGGCAGTAGGAGAACAAAGAAATAGTTTGGGAGAGCAGGAGGGCTTCTCTGTACCTGGCTCAAGGACAGAGACTATTTGTATGATAAACAGTCTCCAAGTTAATTTCCTGATAAAGTGGAAGCAAATACCAAAGCAGAGATATTTATGCATCGTTCCCCCTGATCGGGTACCTGGGTGTAGCCCAGTTCAGGCCAGCATTGTACCAGACAATTCACCACTACTCCTAAGGCATGGTGTCTTTCAAATTGTCTTGTGTTTCCTTTCAAATTGTCAACTGAACAAGACACTGAGAACACGCTGAAACTCCTAAGTCTCAATTTAGAGCTCTAGAATTCTCAGTTTATTAATTCCTTCTGACATGGCTCAGATGTCTCTCGGGTAATTAGTAACAGAACACAGGGTTAGTGTAGCTGCCTCATGGTGATGGGGATTCATTATGACTGATTACTCACTTACGAAATTCAAGCAAGTCTAATTGAGTTTAAACCCAAAAGCCCAGCACCGGGATCATAGCCCTCAGGCTTCTGTACCTGTTTTGTCTTTGTCATATTTAAGAGGCTACCAAGTACACATGGTAAGGATGACTTTTTTATCCATTTGATATGGAGGTGAGGTTTACAGGTAATAGATAAAGTCCGCTCTTCTTGGGAAAGAACGAGGGAAGCCAGAGAGATTGGGCTAGTTTACATATTTTCATCCCTCAAATATCAAGAGTCCAGAGGATGCCAGGCTACGCAAGTTCAGGGCTCAGAGCTGAAGCTATGCATGAATGGAGTGTGCCCTCATTAATTAGATAAATTAAAGGGTGCTGCTGGCTAAGAAATTCTGTCAATTCTTCTTTAAAATGTCTTATCTAATGTTCTGTTCTCTCTCTTCCCACTGCTATCAGCCAGATGCTTGTTAACTCATAGTTCAACAACTGGAGGAGCCTCTTAAATAGGCTCAAGCTGTTCGACTTAACTCAACTAGTGATTTTGGAGAACAAGGCATAGGTCTGGCCTCGGTGGCTTCTCTGTCAGGTCTTCCACCATGGCTTCTTTCTGTTCAGTCTACACAGTGACCCAGGAAACTTTTGTAAAGGCTAGTTTTAATCATAGCACTCCCCTGCTCAAAAACCTCTACAGGCTTTCCACTGCCACAGGCATACAATCTAAATCCTCGGATGCCTTCCCCAGTGAACCCTCTCTCAATACATCCCGAGATGGGCCCACCTTAGCTCAGCCACCTGGTCACTGACCCGGATGTTGGCCCCTCTGAGTCTTTATCCAGGGTCTTCTTTCCTGGAATACTCTTCCCTCATTCTCTATAGATGCCCTTCATGCTCTAAAGGTCAGCTCAAGCCTCAGCCTTGTCCAGTAACCTTTCATCAGATTGCATGCACTGAACTACAAGGATCACTCTTGATGGTAGTCACTTTGCCACCCTATTTTTAAAAAATATATATTTGACCCTTGGACAACACAGGTTTGAACTGCGTGGCTCCATTATATGCAGATATTTTCAATAAATAATTTTTTATTCACAGTTGGGCGTCTGTGGACACAGAGGGCTGACTGCATGCATTGTTCTAAGTTAGGGGACTTCAGCATCCTCGGAATTTTGTATCCGCAGGGGTCCTGGAACCAATACCCCCAGAGACTGAGGGGCAGCTTAAGTTTTTAGGGAGTCAAAAGTTAAATGTGGATTCTCAACTGAATGGGGGGCCAGCACCCCACACCCATGCATTGTTCAAGAATCCACTGTATATATAACCAAGCAATTCTAATTTTAGAAATAAATTAGGGAAGACTCGAACATGCTTATAAAGAAAAACATATGATGTTGAGGATGTTTGCTATTGTGCTTTTCACAAGGAGAAGATGGAAAGCCCATAAGAGGGCAATCAAGTAAATCCTGACCAAGACCAAGCAGCCAAGAAAATCATGTGCATCTTCACTAACATGGGAATCAGTTCACGGTATATCACTGAGTGCACAGAGCAGTGATAGAAGACTGTACAGCAGTATTTTAGATAGACAGATAGATGATAGATAGATAGGTCATAGGTAGATATGATAGATCATAGATAGATAGATAGATGATAGATAGATCATAGGTAGATAATAGATAGATATGATAGATCATAGATAGATAGGTAGATGATAGATAGATCATAGATAGATAATAGATATATATGATAGATCATAGATAATAGATATGATAGATCATAGATAATAGATATGATAGATAGATAGATCATAGATAGATAGATGACAGATGATAGATCAATGATAGATAGATCATAGATAGATATGATAGATAGGTAGATATGATAGATAGATAGATGATAGATAGATAGATAGATAGATAGATATAATAGATAGACCCTGGATAATAGATAGATGGGTATGATAGATGGACAGGGTACTCTCTTGGAAGGAGGCTCTCTTCTGCGAGCATTTTATCCTTGTGGTTTTCTATGCATTTAAACTTTGGGGCACTGAATGAAAGTGTTATTAATGAATTGGATGGTATACATGGAAATTTGCCCTTTTAAACCACAAACATCTGCAGGGATGGATGCATACATTGATGGAGTAGTTTGACACAGCTCCATGTTTAGGTTGGACTCTAATAAAACCCAGCACTGCATGAGAGAATCCCATGATCCTGGAACAACATTCACTGAACTAGGCGTCGGGAAACACAGGGTCTAATCGTGGCTCTACAGCAGAATTCTTGCCCACCCTGGAAAACGGCACTTATTTTCTTGAACCTCAATTTTCTATTATAAAATAAGTGTCTATTCTTCCCAACCTCTATCCCCATTCCATCTTACAAAAATGTATGGAGATAAATAGAAACAATAAGAATACCAAAGACACTGTAAAAAGGCAGTTGATCAGCATCAGGTGGGATTACTATCAAGGTTGGAGAACAACCCTCTGAAATCTTTAGTCTCTGATACACCACAGGCTCGAATCCCAGGGGTATCCGATTCACGTGCTAATGTGCAGGGAAGGCAATTTACTGGACAGCTGATTTAATACCGTGGGCACATCAGTTAAGCAACAATTTAAAAATGAAAATACAAGAATCATTTTAGAACAACATTCCTAAGCTTACTCTTCTTTTAAAAGTATTTCTCACAATACTTTACAGATATTGTCTTTGCTTTTTAAAAATTAAAAAAGTTTTTTTTTTATTGATTTCAGAGGAAAGGAGAAAGATAGAAACATCAATGATGAGAGAGAATCATTGATCAGCTGCCTCCTTCCTGCAAGCCCCCTACTGGGCATGGATTCCGGGCAAACTGGAACCAAACCCTGACCTCCTGGTTCATAGGTCAAACCACTTCGCTGGTGCTTATTTATTTTTTTCTATTTTTAAGAGAACAGCACAGATATAAATTTTAATAAAAGAAATATGCTGGCCTTCACATCAATAATTTAAAGACAAAAATTTAAAGTTTTGGCAAACTCATTGTGAAGGGAACAAGGTGCTACTCTTTATCTTTGCAAAGACTTTGACATGGAACCTAACTCACCTAGATGGGCAAGTGAATTACTCACATGGATGCCGATGTACACGTTTACAGATACACATGACTGAAGGCTCTTGGCACATGACTGGTAGGTGTATATCGAATATTTCTTGACACAAAGACACAAACCCAGGCATGACTGCGTGTACCAAGACACACACGGAAACACCCACACGTCCCGCAGTCCCACAGAGCGGCCTCCCCGAGGTGGTGCACGGGCTTCAGGTGAAAGGAAGAGCAGAGGTTTCCCTTGAAGGGAAGGGGGGGGGCCGGCGCCCCCAGAGATGTCTTCACTCACCTGTCAAGTGGTTGGCAATCCTGGCTGTGGGTTTGGGAGGCAGGGCAGGGGGCTGCTTGAGGAGGGACAGCTGCTTCACTGGGGTCTCTTCATGGTCTCCAGAGAAAGCAGCAGGTTTTTTGGGGGGCAGTAGCAGGACTGGTTTGGCTGAAGGATCTTGGGACAGGAGGACTCCAGACTCACTGGCAGAGGGACTCTCTTCAGACACTGAGGGGACAACCACAGGACACACAGGAGACATTACACAGATGCAGTGCGTGGGGCTGGCGAGCACACAGGACAGGGGCGGGGCAGCCACAGGCAGCGCTCCGGCTCCTCCAGGCGGTCCGAGAGCGTGGGAAGCTAGAGAGGACGCTGGAAACCCCTCTCCGGGCACAGTGGGGAGGCAGAGGCAGAGGCGGGAAAGGGAGAGGGGGAAGGATCAAGAGGGAGAAAAAGGAAGAAGGCATTTTCTCAAAACGTTGTCATGTCCATCTCGGTGGTTATAATGCTGACTCTGTAGATGCTCTAGAATGTGACGACCCACAGACGGCAGGGTGATGCGTCAGGAATGAAGCGCCTCCTCTGACCCGAGCCAGCACCAAACACCAGCACCTCCCTTGGGGCCCGCTGCCCTGTGCTAGGCAGGGAGAGAGAGGGGGTTCTTGTTTTTGCCCGCTGGGTCTCGTCCTTGCTCCCAGGTCTGGGACACCAGGTAATGAAGACAGCCTAGAGTTTGAACCAGGGGGGCGGCCTACACATGTGGGGCAGCTGCTCTGGAGCCCCCTGAGCTGGTGCAGCCTCTAGTGGGCGCCCTGCCTTTTACACGCACCTCCCTGGCCCTGCGGCTCCTAAAAACCTCAACCAGGTGAAGGATGCTCCTCAACACCTTTTTGTCTTCCCCCTCCCTCTCTCCTCTTACTGGCCTGAATTATGGTTTTCTTGTTTTGATTTGCCCCATTTCTTTCTCCCCCCTACACACTTTTTTTGGTTAATCCTCACCTGAGGATATTTTTTTAGGGAGAGTGGAAGAGAGGGAAAGACAGAGAAACACGAGCCCAGCCGCACCAGGGCCCGGGCGGGGGAGGAGCCTGCAACCAAGGTAGGTGCCCTTGGCTGGAATTGAACCTGGGACCCTTTGGTCTTCAGGCCAATGCTCCATCCACTGAGCCGAACTGGCATGTGCTCGCCCCATTTCTCTTTGCTCTGCACTGGGCCCGATTCTTCCTTTTCCCCGACTGGCTCCAGTGAGGAGCTGTCTTGGCCAGAGGCATAGGCCTCCTGGCAGATGACAGTCTGAAACTGTGGCTCCACTGGATGTCAGACCTCACCATGCCCATCAAAGCCATCTGATCATGTTACAGGGAAGGGTGAATAAAAACACAATTCACTGCTTCAGCTGGGAAAATCGCCCCAGCTTGCGGGACGGGGGATGCAACTCAGCGGCCTGTACTCCTTCCTCCCATCGCTGCTACAGTAAGAATGCCCAGAAGGGACTTCTCTGCACCTTCTTCCTCTCTGACCTGGGTAGCAGTGTTCCCTGCAGCACGCAAGCCCTGGCAATAACCCCCCTGATGCTCAATGCTCCCCCGTCCCAAGGGACACTGTTATTATCAGCGTGGGACACACCTGGTCCCAAAGTGAAGCCCGGGACCTGACTCTGTGAGACACCATCTCTGCCATCCTCCCACCTGCGCTCTGCTGAGGAGACTGTGCACCTGGTGTGCACGTGGTGTGCACCACGCCAGATCTTCCAAGAGGTCCCTTCCCCCAGGCGTGACTCCTGACAACAGGACCATCCTTACTGGCTTGGGGAGGGTCCCAGGAGGGAATGAGTATTGGCCGCTCAGAGGACTTGGGACCAGAGAGGGAGCAGTAGTTAGATGGCATCAAAATCATCTGTTGACAGGATACAAGTTAACCAGCAAATGGTAAACAATGTAACGGCCAATGAACACATTGACTGTATACAGTAAATTGGTACAACTTGCTAAATTGATACAACCATTAATTGGTAACTGGGGCGAGGATGAAAGGAAATGCCAGGGCAAGCGGACAGGTGAGTTAGATAGGAACCAGAGAGAAGTGCAGGGTTCTTTAGCTTGATCTTAACAGAAATGAGTGTTAGGAAACAAAACAATGACATTTCACATAATCAACAGTACAAAAACAGGGTATGTCACTTAAAGATATTAAAGGTATAAAGATATTTTTAAAATCTAGAATAATAACTGAATATCGTCCCAATTTTTATACTCAGTATGTACCGGTTGGTCAGTTGCATCCCTATTTCCAGGATTCTAACGCTTGGGGTGGTGGACAATAAAACCCCAAGTCCAGTCAGGCCAAAGAGCCTTAATGCTCTCCCAGGGCCATTACCTGTCCCATCCATGATGTCTGAAGGTTGGAGCACCTCGTATGAGCAGGGATCTCTGGGCATCGGGACCGGCTCCATTTCGGACAGGGCGGGCAGAGACAGCTGGCTGGCGCTCAGGGACTGTCCGTTTTCCAGGGAGTCCTCCTCATTGGATATGGAGAGCTCCCCATCTGCCAGGGAGAGGAAGTGCCGTTAGACAACGCCTGCCTCCGCGAAGGGTGACATCCAGGGCCTGCTAACTGAGTCTCCATCTTTATCAACATCTGCACTTGTTCTTTTGCTTTTGAGACATTTACTTTATTTTTAGAGATGTGCCATCTAACTACCAGCGCAAGAGTTTCCAATGATCTTTAGTCAGTTGCTTCTTTTCTCTCCATCTTTCTAACCACAATCCACCATATTTTGTCTCTTTATTTTTTTTTTAATGAAAGTGAATAGCCGAAACCGGTTTGGCTCAGTGGATAGAGCGTCGGCCTGCGGACTGGGGGGTCCCAGGTTCGATTCCGGTCAAGGGCATGTACCTGGTGAATAAAAACTTATTTTTCTTCATAATCTTGGAAACTTGGAAAAACTGAGCAGACCTCAGAGACTGGAAAACCAGGGTTAGGAATTCCTACTTCAGGGAATAAAGGGCTCCATATCACGCAACAAGTGCCAGGAGCATGGTACTCCCGCCTAGGAGAAAACTCATCCTGTCTTCTCGCTGCGTCTGCCCAAATTCCCTCTGAAAGGCCACAGCAGCCAGAATGCGGGAAGTGCCTGAATTCTCCGGAGCTCACCAGTGCTCGCTGGTCCTGTGGGCGGGCAGACTCTGATCTGGCTTACAGCTCAGCAAAGCAAGGGGCAGCCAGTTAACACCATGGGGAGGATCAAAGGCTCCTGCACAGTGGCCATTTGTCAAATCAACCCCCCCAACCAACCCCGCAGTATGATTTCATCCTAGCCAGGGGAGTCCTCCATAACTAGACACTGAAATAAAATAAAATTTTAAAGGGGACTGAAGGCTGTTCTAGTAAAATGAGCAAATGCCCAGATGGAAGACTCTTACGTGATGCTTGGTCAGAACACAGAAACGAGCAAAGCAATTACCTGGCTTACAACTGCAAGCAAGATGACTCACTTGTAGAAATGAAACAGCGAAATGACTCCAAGGTTAAATGGGGAAACCCAATCCTTTTGCTCTGCCCTTCCCAAGGCTGTAACTTGATCCACAATGATATATGGCGACAAAGGACCCTCTGCCAGCCCCTCCCCAATTATCTATGACACGTATGTTCAACAGAGTGACCTACACATGAGCAGGCTTTAGATAACGTATGGCTCAAGGACGCAGGATTTTTAACCTGAATGTCCTATAAACATAGAGGAAACATAACGGAGAGCAAAAAAATCATCTGAAACAGACAACATAAAGCACGGCACTCGAAAAGAGTGTTGTGCGTCTGTTTTCTTCCTTTTCTCATTTAGCCTTTTTATTGCCCCAAATGGTAGCAGTCAGTCGTTATTATAACTGATTAGCTGTAGGGTGGGAAGGGCTGTAGTATGAGGGTCCCTGCACAGCATCCCATCATGTATGGTCCCATTCCTCTTAAGATGATTACTCCTCCTCACTAATACGAGCAGCGCAGACCCAAGGCTAATGCCACGGAGAGGACACTGCTGAACCGAGGGTCTGTAGGGTGGGAAGGGCTGCAGTATGAGGGTCTCTGCACAGCATCCCATCATGTATGGTCCCATTCCTCTTAACATGCTTTAATTTCGCATGTTCAAACCGACGCCGTGGGAAGTAGCTCTGCTTCAAGTTCCCAGTTGGTGAAATAATGACACAGCTACTATTCAGTTTAATACATCTCTTGGAAACCACTTTGATTTTTGATGTTCCAAGTGTAATAAAAGTCCTGGATAAGACAATCAGTGGAGAAGGGGTTTCAGCGCTGTTGCCAAGTTCTGCTTCGTTGGGGCAAAGACGCAGTGGGGTGATTGGTGCACATTTTTTTTTTTCTGGTGCACATTTTAACAGTTAGAAATGCCACAGAAGCAACACTGGGAAGAAAGATACAACTGCGGTTGGATTACTCTGTGAGCCTTGGTTTCACCCCGGCTTAATGCCAAAGGCTTTGTTAGTAACAGAGTAGCAATATCACTCATTCCTCTTGCGTCTATTTACCCCTCAAAAAATTTAGCTCCCTATGAATTAAAAGTACCTTTGCTAAGTCACAAGGCCCATACCACTTTAGAGAAGAAACAACCTTGGGAATTCCACTGTCATAATGTCTACATATACATTTCCATTGAAAAAAATGAAAATAGGAAAAAAAAGAAGAAATAAGATACTGATCATATCGCCACCCTAACAGATACAATTTCTTTTTCAGTACATATTTTTCATAGTTACATTCTTACTATGAATCAAATTTTGTCTTTCTTTACTATTATAGCATTACAATTTGCAGAATTACCATCTTAATGATTATATTAGACTAGAGGCTCGTTGCACGAAGAGATTCGTGCAATAGGCTTTCCCTTCCCCTGGCTGCCGGCACCGGTTTTCCTCTGGCACCTGGGACCCAGGCCTTCGCTCTGGGCAGAGCCTTCAGTCTTCTCGGCTCCGGTTGGAGCCTTCAGTCTTCGCTCCGCCGCTTCGTGCCTACGTATGCAAATTAACTGCCATCTTTGTTGGGTTAATTTGCATACTCTCCTGATTGGCTGGTGAGCATAGCGGAGGGATAGTCAATTTACATGTTTGTCTATTATTAGGTACGATGAATATACTGATGTTTATCCAGCTATCTCCCTATGGTTGGTCACAAAGGGATTTCAAATGTTTTATGCTATTATGAAAAAAGGAAGTTCTATTGACCATCTTCTTATATAAAATCTCTCCTGCCATTAGAATTCCCCCCTTTAAAAGAGATTCCAATAAATGAAATTTATGTGTATCAATAATTTAATGTCTAGTGACACATACCTGGATCTTCTGAAATTGTCTTTCTAAAAGTTTATTTTTATTTTTATTTACACAATAGCAATGTACAGATCACACTAATTTCTTAGCTTTTGGTCATTTCTTCAACATTAACGTTAATAATCATGTTTTATCTATGTATGTATGTATGCATGGATGTATCTATATATATACTACATATGTATACATATCTAGTAGAAATAATTAAAACCATTCAATATGTACAAAAATTCATTATCAATATCATTTATGACCAAGATTGGTAGTGACAGAAGTGAAAAACATTTTATTTAGGTTCATATAACATGGGCATAGAATGATGCTATCATTGTTAAGTAACTGTTATTTAAAATTCTTATTATGGCATTTTTGAACATACACAAAGTAGAAACATTAATGTAATGGACCTCGTATATTCATCTTCTAGGCAAGGAACCAGCGGGGAATTCCTAAGGCTTGGTGGTTCCAAGTTTGATGAACTTGAAGACCATTGGGACTGGAGAGAGCAGTAGGGTAGAGTGGAGGTGTAATATGTCAGATGCTGACATATCTAACAAGGAAATCAGATCACAGAGGGGAGAGAGGAGCATGGTGATGTGGATCTAAGATACAGAACTGGCCATGATGCTGTGCCAGCCCGACTTTCCTCTTCTTGTGTGGCGTAACGAATGAAGATGTTGGTAATACCAAATCGAGGACAACGAAGGGAAAGGTGAGAGTGAATTAACTCAATTGATAAACTCCTGTTGCGAGCTTATAATTAACAACATACATCACACACCAGAAACTGCCAACCCTCACAACGACCTTGTGAGAAAGGCAGATGCTCTCTATGAGCTCCTTAGGATACACGTTATGGTTTATAGAAACTACAGACCAGCCTGCTTCCTCCAAAGCTCTGGGCTTCACCACACCCTGCCCTGCCTCTCCTCTCATAAGCCAGGCAGGCATTGTGCCAAATGCTCAGGAGAAAACAGACATGGCTTGGGGAAGAGAGGGGGGCAAGATGTGGTGAAGAAATGCAGAAAAGCAGGCACAGAGAGAATTAGTGTGAGCCAGCTGGGGTGAGCCGGGGAAATGTAGCCAGATTGAGAAGTCCTGAGAAGTGGCTGAAAAAAAGAAGGGTGAAAGAAGATAGAAGACATGTGCTCAGGCTACATGAAGATCACATATGAGAGGTAGAACTTGTCTTGCATTGAATTTTTAAAATATTCTAAAAGTACAATTTATGCAAAAGTTGTATTCTAGAAGATTGGCCTAAAAGAATAATTTGAATTTTTGTTTGCTTGTTTGCTTGGGAATTGTGACTACATTCCAAGTGGTTTTTAAAAATTACTGTTTTGCTATTGTTATTTATTTTGCTTTAGGAATACTCTCTAGTTTTAGGGTGATTGACATCAATTTCTGATCAATTAAATTTTCTCAAACCTTAAGGTAACTAAAGTTCTTTTTTTAAATAAAATAGGTGAATGCCACCATAAAAACCAATGAGCAACTAGAATTCTTTCAGGTTCTTGTGGATACCTATGTAAAAACAGTTTCTACTTTTAAAAAATGATATGAAAGATGGGCTTTTCTGAGTGTGCTCAGGGTTTATGATACTTTGCAGCTTAAGATAAAAAGTATTAATTTTAATTTTGAAAAACAAAAGTACTATAGTATAAACTTAAGTTCACCACTGAATCTGATATTTTAGGATATGCTTTATGGTTTATATAAAAAAACTTATGTTTAAAAATGTATTTCTAGTTGGACAATAACTCCTTACTTAATAAATAATAGTTAAATGTGACTATAAAAAATTGCTTTATGAGGGCATGTGCTAGGGGGTGGGAGCGGCTGGGGAGAGGTCAATGGGGGAAAAAGGAGACTTATGTAATACTTTAAACAATAAAGAATTTAACTTAAAAAAAGAACTGCTTTATGTCTGCATATTGAGCCATTACTGCAATAAATTTCTCAAAGATAAAAAACTAAAAAGATTTAAAAGTTAGGATAAGCAATATAAATAAATGTGTGTTCACATATACATATTTATTTTTCAGGTTGTGTAAAAGAAAAGCAAAATGGATAGTTTTGACTTACTCATAAAACTTTTTGGTTTTTAATTTGCAAAATAGAATGCTATAAACCAAATAAAAAGGAGCCCAGAATAATAGGGAAACATGAGCTCAACACAGCTAATAAAAGAATAATTATTCCAAG